AGCACGCGTGGAGGGCGGCCAGCCACGAGCACGCGTGGAGGGCGGCCAGCCACGAGCACGCGTGGAGGGCGGCCAGCCACGAGCACGCCTAAGTAGAGGGCGGCCAGCCACAAGCACGCGTGGAGGGCGGCCAGCCGCGAGCACGCGTGGAACGGGCAGAGTCCTGCCCTCACGAGCTCCCTCTCAGGGAGTGAAACTGTGATACAATCTTGCTGCCTTTCTATTAGCACATTAGCATTTTAAAGGAATTAAAAGAAAATCTCGGACAGAAAGGAGGATCCTTACATTTTACTGGTTTATGTATAAATTAGGTGATATTTTACCAGCTGTATTTAAAAAAAAATTAGGAAACAAGGCTATTCTACAGATTTTTAAAAGTGGTTCTTTAAAATTTAAGAACCATGCATTATACATTTACAGAATATTCATCTGTGTGCAAAGGGAATTTCTACAATTGTTTTAAATTGGCATAATTTAAACCACAGTAAGGGGTAGCCTCTCATATTAAATTTCTATGCAGAAATATTTCAAGTCTTTGAAAGTAACAGACCGATTAGGAAATAACATTTATTCCCCTAGATATAACAGAGCTCATTAGAAACAAAATCTCTCTCAAGACTGTAATTTCTAATAACAGACTTCACATGTGAGACTTTCTCTGCGTCATTTATAAAATCAGAACAATCCACAGATCACCAGACCCCCTCCGGGTTAAAGAGACTTTGGGAGCCTGCAGGACACCCACGTTCCCTTGTTCCCACTGCAGGAGGCCACCTACCTTGCATGTCAAAGACCGGGTGCAGGGCTTCTTGGTGTCAAGGTCAATGACCCCACAGTGTATGTCAGGATCAAACTCTCTTTCTGTCAAAAGCACACAGACGTTACAATGGCTTGCCAAGCACTCCTTGGTTTATTTTGTAAAGAAGAAAACAGAAAAAAATCTCCAGACAAATTATAATCTGAATAAAATCTACCATGTTATCAATAAATACAAAATCTATAACAAAGAATACACATAGTATATAGCGAAGCAGCAGCAACGTCACTAAGAGAGTGGGTGACTACGGCCATCAGCACTGCTGTCAGCGTTACTCCATTACCAGTACATTCAGCAGAACACCACTAAGAGACACACACACACACGCCGTTTAAACACGAGAGTGAAGAGGACAAGCATATTACCTAAAGAAAATTTCTCTTAAAGCTGAAGCTGACCAGTATCAAAAAGAAGACCTACAGACAGCAGTTCCTTTGCTCTCCACAGATGCCTACTTCTATATTAACACCCAAAGAGAGAAAATACAGAGTTACCTGATAATCTCTTATTTAAAAATTTCCGATTACTGGAATTGTCTTCGGATTTCTTTTCTGGGGCGGGCGGAGCAGGAAGCCCTTTGCTATTCAGAATCTGTCCAGGTGAAGGCAAGGTTGGCTTTGGTATTGAGGGGCAGTTAAGGCCAGGCTTGACGGAGGAACTCACAGGAGCAGGACAGGACGGCCCCGTGGCAGGTTTCAGCAGTGTGCCAGCCACCCTGGGGTGCATCTTCTCCACTTTGACAGAGGGTGTCATGCTGTCGTAGGGAAGCGAGAACACCAGCATCTGAGTGCCCCAGCGGCCCCAGGAGGCTGCTGAGCCTGAGGGCCAAGGGCAGAGCCTGGGTCTGCCCACGTACTGCACAGGGCTGTTCCCACGGGGCACCTTATGGATGTCTGTTAGGACTATTCACAAAAATCGGTAAGGCGCACCCTTATCCACTATAAGCACCCCCGGCAAGGCAAAGCCTCATGGACCATCAAATTTACTTGATCTATCTTCATTTCAGAAAAATGTTTTTCAGGGGCCAAGGGGAAAATCAGGCCCGATACCAAATGCGAGTCCTGCAAGAAGCAAAACATGAAAAGGTCTAAAGGACCCAGGCCACCTGGAGGAGCTCTGGAGAGTATCTTTTGAGAACTGTCACTTTTACGAAAGAATCCCTCAAAACAAAGTAAACCTCTGAATGAGCAAAAAGAAAGATCAGCATTAGAGGATACTTCCAAGAAATATCACTAAGGACTTACAAGAAGTCCAGCGAGCCTAACAATGTATCTGAAAGCCACCAAGTTTAATACATCTTCATGTGATGACATATTTTAACCTAAATGCATTGGTTTCAGGGCTCCGTGCTTCTGTCAGTGAGGAAGGCCAATGTTTAACCAGTACACGACGTGCAAGTGAAGTGGTAACTCTCCAGCCCCTGAAAAAACTGTCTATTCTAGGAGCTTAGGATATCAGCACTTGGCACAGGGTTGCTGAGCACTGACTTCGTGTACCACAAACAACTGTTTCTCTTGGAATCTTACTGACAAAACATTTTACTCGGTAAAACTCAGCAGGGTGGAAAGCTAACCGCTGGCCTGGTCCCCTCCACAGCCCAGCTCCAAGCGGAGTCTGGACTGAGGAGGTCTCACCCTCTGCTCAGCAGTCAGTGGTCCAGCAGCCGTGAAGCTCCAGCGCGGCTCACGCTATGCGCTGGCACTTTCTTTGGCTTTCAGACAGTTTAGGAATGAAAGCCAAACTTCCTGCGTGGCGCTTCTGACGGATGAGCAGGGCTGGGGACTTAGCAACCAGGACAAACAGCCCCGATCAGCTGTATCTACAACAGCCCGGCAGCAGCGGAGACTGCAAGATGCTGTGGTCTCTCCCAGCTGGCAAGGGCCCTGGGCAGTAGCAGGTGCTGGACCCGGCCCTGAGATTAACCAGTTATCAGAACTTGGGGCTGAGATGTGAGGCAGGCCCTCCAAAAGGGAGGCAGGCCAGGGAGAAGCCACCCGGCACCAAGCCTGAGGGAAGCCGTGAAGAGGCAGGACGTAGTTACGTGGGAGTGCATGGAGCTCCCTCACGTGACCCAAGGACCTGCCCACCTACCCACCCACCGTGGAAACTCGCCAAGGCCTTGTCTGGCGGCTGAGAGCTTCTTTCAGTCTTCCCTTATCCCTGAGGTGACATGTACCCAAAGCTGGTGGGGAGGAAGCATGGCTTCCCTACTTGCTTTGCAGGCCCCAGAAAACCCTAGAGCAGCTTCTGGAAAAGTCTTCCCCTTTTATTATCACTACTACCAACCACAGCAGCAGGAACGCCAGCATCTGTTCATTAACCATCTCCTCTGGGTCAGACACTATGACACGGATTAGGTCTAATACTGCCAATAACCTCACACAGTCACTGTAGAGACAAGCAGTGCCTTGCCTGTGACCCTGCAGCTAGACAGTGACACAGGTGGGATTTGAACCTGGGCCTGTCCGACTTGAGGTCACCTGGGCTAACGTCCCTCAGTTTTATCAAGCTTCATTCTCCTTACCCAGAAAAATAGCAATAAGAACAGTATCTATTTCACAGGGTTGTGAGCATTAAATAACACAGTACACACGCAGAGCTTAGTTCAGCACTTAGCACACAGTAAAGGGTTAATAAATGGTATTTTTGCTATTACTACTCTGTAAAGTCTCCCTGGAAGAAGACAGGGAAACAAAAAGAATCCACGTCTTATTTCTGAAACTTCCCCCAAACGGGCTCCCTTTCGCATGACTTACAGATGTGCCCAGGTGTACTGCCATCTACAGTCCCATCCCCAGCAGGTAAGCTTTAAAAACCCTCATGGCCATACTCACATTCTACTATTGGGGCCTCTACTTGGCTGAGTGGGATGCATTGGCCCGGTGTACCCCCTGAACTGCAGTTTCTCTTTGGGCGATTTCAACAACTTGGAACTGGACGCGGACGCGCTCAGGACGCCTCCAGTGGAAGAGCGGCTGCCTCCACCGGCACCGCCTCCTTTGCTTTTGGGCAGAGAAGGGAAGAAGGAAAAGGCTGAAGTGGGAGGAACGGGCAAAGGCGGCTTGCTGGGGGAGTTGTGTCTTCTTTCTGGAAAGGAAAACAAAGAAAAATGTCACCAAGTTTCAGTCACCTCTCCAATGGAACCCTGGAAGAGTACCCTGAAATCAGCATGTTTAGGTTAAAATATGTGTTGGTAAGTGAAAAATGTATTAAAGTCAACAGCTTTCAGAAATGGCTTATCTGGGCCCCACAGACTTCTCTCAGATTCTAGGAACCGGTCCTCCCGTTCAGGAGACATGTCAGCACAGAGAGGTCTATCGCACGTGCCCATCAGGGAACTAAAGAGACAGTCCAGATGTGACAAGACTGCCTTTCGTGTGATGTGTGGTAGAAACGAACCTCACCAGCTCCACCTTGCAGCCAAAGAGAGGAAAATGATTCAGTCATCTGCAGCACTCTGCTACTCACACTGCATACAACTCTTTCTTCCCTCCAGCACAGCACCTCTCCAATGTTCAAAATAGCAACATGTTAAGAAACAAGTTGTACCTTCATTTTTTTTGTCACTACCCACCAGCATATGACACCAATAAGAACGTTTCTAGGGTTATCTTATCATTCCTTAAGAATCTGTGCTGAAATTTTCCAGTGAATCATTTCACTCCCCTTTTTTTAATCATCTCTCTTGACTACAGATGGTACAGCTCCGGCTCACACCACTGAGATGCCAAAGGCGCAAGACAAAAATACCACAAATAGCTACGACCGTTTTTAAACCAGGAAGTAATTCACAGTGAAGCACAGACCACACAGGTTCAGCTGATAATAAATTTACGATAAATAAGACAATAAATGTATCCACTAGAGACTCTCGTTTTCTCAGAGTAAAGCGATCCATACTAACATAGATCATGAGCTGTTGAACGTCACCACCTGAAACAAGTAAATTACTTGGTAATGTTTACTCCTTAAACACTTTATTATGATGGTAGCTTAGTGGCTGCTTGCAATTAACCTTGTAATTTAAAATCACTCATTTGCTTAACTTTGTTTTAAAATGAGTGTGATCCAACATTTACTTATGACAATATGGGAACTATATGAGTACTTAAAAGTAAAATAAAACAGACCAAACCCCTTGCCGTCAATTCAGACTCATAGCAACACTACAGGACAGAGCAGAACTGCCCCATAGGGTTTCCAAGGAGCAACTCGATTTGAACTGCCGACTTTCTGGTTAGGAGCTGAGCTCTGAACTACTGTGCCACCAGGGCTGCGTGTTGCAATCAGTGACTACAAGTCTCACTTCAATGGTCTATCACCAATGGTCTCTAAAGCAGCCCTGAGCATCTCCGTGAAGCCGTGCCGACTTGTTCCTGAAAGGACACTAGTTCAGCAGTGCTTTACGAGGTGCGTATGAGCCTGCTCCACGCCAGAACAAAATCAGTGTGCGATCTACAGACAAAATTCCAACTCTCCAACTCGACCACACAAAGGCTACAATCAACTAACGGTGATTTTTTCTGCCCTCCTGCCTTTTTTCCCTCCTGATGTGAAAGTTGTGTAAGGAAGGGAAAGCTAAAAATAACAAGTTTAATAATTTTCCAAATTCCACATCAGAGTTTTTTTTTTTTTTTTAAGTTCCTCCTCTATGATCTCAAAACCCTGAACCTACTTCCAAGTGTGAGCACTTACCAGCCGGACTGTAAACACCTGTTTACATGTAAACCCCTGGGCACCTCGGAGCACGGCTTCCTTGAGGCTTGTGTTGGTCACCTTCCTCTGGAAGCCACAGCAGAGGGCAGGCCTTCGGCAATGTCTGCACATTAATTAACTCCACTCGTGGTTGCTTTAACATTTAATTCCATCAGTGTTTGCTTTTCTTGTAAAGAGCAGTGATTTTCCAGTGACCCCAGGCCAGTGGGTCAAAACCTTGGCCCCACACTGGAATAACGTAAGGAGCTGATTTGATTGGTTTGGGGTGTGGCACAGGCGTCCAGAACTTTACAAGCTCTCCTGTATGATTCTACTGTGCAGCCAAGGCTGAAAGTCTACCCTAGACTAAGTATGTCTCCAGCACTATTAACCACGCCAAGCGAGCGAACACTCGTAAGGTGCTGAGAACACCAGCCAGCACCCGGCACTAAAGGCTCTTCCTTACTATCTGCCCTACAATGGTGTTTTACAAACTGCCATCAACTGAAAACCATTTTCGTAATTTTTTTTTTTTTACCAAAGCTCACATAAAATACTATTTTTTTCTTCAACATTTTGATCTAAATTATTATCAACTCTATTGTTGATGCTCCCTACCCCACCTCCTCAGCCTAATACCAACCAGTCTCTCCCTGGGGGCATTACCAGCACTGTAGGACAACTCTCAGTACAGGACTGCAGGATGGTGGGCCCCCCACCTCCTCATCAATCAGGGCAGTTAAGAAACCACCGCCAATACATCTCCATGTGGTCCCCAAGGGAAGCAGGGCACCACCTCAGTTGAGATATATTTTCTAAAACCAATCTCAGCTATGTATCTATGAAACAATAGGTCAGATAAGCTTGTTACATGTATTTTTTACGACACATTAAAATATCCATCTACGTTTCTCCAAAAATCACCCTGCGCCCCTGCAGTGGCAGAGTGATGAAGGAACAGCCCACATCTGCGGTTCAAAGAGGGTGACCAACCAGGACTCTGACTTCTCAGAGTGCACGCCTTTTACTCCTCTCTGGGTGGGTATTCCAATTCTCAAGCGGGTGTCTGAGAACAAATGTGGTGTATTTTACCTTAAGAGCAATTGGTGCAAAGAAAATTCTCAATTCAGTTAAGTCAGTTCTGTTACAACGCTTGTTTTAAAAATGCAGTTTTGTTCCAAAGACACTGACACACAAGGGAAGCGTCAGAGCACAATGCAGACGCTACGCGTGCTCAGGTGCAATTCTGTCAGCAAGAAACCCTAGGTGAACGCAGAAAACTACATGCGGCGGAGCGGAGCCAGGTGGGAATACACCAAATGCACACACCAGCTACCGCCCTAGTTCACACCACCGGGGCTACTGGCCGCACCCACCACCTGGGTTACAACTTTCCTGCTGATTTCAGACTCCTTCCCTCCTCCGTCCTCCATCACTTCACACTAACTCATAAGCTGCAACCAGCCCCTCTGATGCCCACTTCAGCGCTTGAACCAGTTCGTTCTGGTTTGAACCCCTGCTGATAATCTGCATTTCTAACAAGTTCCCAGGAAGTCATACTTAAGAATCACTTGGGGATCTTGTTAAAATGCAGATTCTGATTTAGTCCGTCTGGAGTGGAAACAAAAATTCTCAGCAAGGGCTCAAACCAGAACAAACCGGTTCAAAGGCCTGGCCCGCTTCTACAGGCGAATTTCAGGTCTTTTTCAAGGTGAAGTGCCACATTTACTCCAGTATAAATTTCAACCATTTAACACATGTCAAACAAGTCTGTAGTGTTCAGTAGGTTCCTGTCTTTTTCAGCGTGTGTCACCAACGAAGGTTTTCAGCGTGATGCCCGTAGTCCGGCTCCCTGGAATCCCCGTGTGGTTTTTACTGCGCGCCTGGGCACAGCGCGGCGATTTTTCAGGAATGCATACATCCTGCTATGGCAGAAGTCACCATAACGCTGAGCCTGTCCTTCAATGTCCTGTTCCCACCATAGCCCACCTTCCCTTTTCTGTGGTTAATGTCTTTCTTTCTTGCCTATTAACTCTTGATATGGGATTTAGCACTAGAAAGTCAAAATTCAGAGTCAGCTGATGTGTCAATAACATTCCAAAAGAAAACTGTATTTTCTACTTAACAATGAAAGCTATTTAAAAAACTAAGAATTGAATTGGCAATCTATCACATGGATTTCTTTCATTCACTAAAACTTGAAACAGATTGTGTGTGTGTGTGTGTGTAACAGATCCTAGCTAAAAAGTGCCAGCTCAAATCCTTGTCATGCTACTGAATCAAATTGTGCCTTCACATTAAGGTCTGGTAACTTATTCTGTGAAAAGGGCAGCATCTGGCTTTTCCCTCACAAGGAAGCAGACGTAAAACCAAATTTAATTAAAACTGAGTTGAACTCCCCTCATCCTTTGAGCGTGGTTCCTTATTTTTTATAAGATTTTAAACTGGGCTTCCAGTTTTGTTTTCGTTTTTCAGAAGAATGTGTTTGTCCCTAGATCAAAAGAGAAACAGGCAATTATGGATCAGCTTAGGGACCCTACATTAAGTGGACAAAGTGGTGGCCAGATGCTAAGCGTGACAGCAGTGCGGTTTGCCAAGGAGTCCAAGCTGAGTTTTCAAAGCGCTCCTCTCTCCAGGGTCTGGCACCAGCCCAGACAAAGCACACGCTGTCCCTGAAAGAGGAAGGCACTGTGAACGGCTCCAGCCAGACACACAGACAGGCAGATAGACTGACAGGTACAGATACAGGGCGAGTCAAAGACAGACAGACGTGGGTGAACGTGTGTGTTGGGGGCCAGGAGGAGGGACAGGCAGACACACAGAGAGACACGGGGACAGGGCAGAGAGCAAGGATGGATGCCAGGGCTCTCCTCCTCCTTGTGGTGTGAATGTGACAGTGCTGAAGGCAAGGGCAGGGTGTGTAGGAGGACAGGCAAGGGGAGGAGGGACAGGACAGCCTTCTGTAGGTCTTCCAAAACGCGAAGCAACCAAGAATACTGAGCTTGCAATTCTGCATTCATGCTGAGATTAAACATATATGTTTATGTATGTATATGTATGTATGTATGAAGACCCAGGTACTCCAAAAAGGAGTTCAAAGCAAATAATTAGATCTTTCTGTATGTCATAAATATTACTGCTTTGAAAACAACTAAAAACAATTCATAATGCACAAATGTCAAAATTAGGGCACAAACCTAAGAAGCAGTCAAAGCAAATTACAACTTCCAATGTTATCATTCATGCTTGAAAGTATATACAAGGATATATATCGAAGTTGTTTTTGTTTTTAAAGTGGTTATCCCTGGAATTATAGGTCCTTTTTTTACCTTTGTGTACTGTTCAGTGTTTCTACAATGAATATGGTTTACTTGATTAACAAATACATACCT